CCAATGAGGTACACAGCTATGAACAATTCTGAGACTTAGGAATGTTCAAAAGCAGTCCAAACAGAGGGTCGGGCACCACATCAACTAAAGTCTAGTTCAACAAAAAATTAACAGTCAATGTACACGTTAACAGTTGCCTAAAAAACCTTTTCTGCCAAAGCTAGCATCAGAAGAGGCAGAAACATCAACTGTATAAAACTTTGCATAAGTGTGAACAGAAGACCAGATTGCGACCTTTGAATTTTGAGTAACAGAAGCTTGAAACACCCAAGAAGTACTAGCAGCCCTAGTGGAATGAGCAGAAACAAGAAAATGTAGTACCCTGTCCCACAACTCATAAGCTTGAATGATAAACTGATGAATCCACTTTTAAATGGTGAAAAACCTTCTCTAAGCTTTTCTGTAAGAACAAATAAAGAATCCAGATGGCTGAAAGATAAACACTAAAAGCCCACACATCCAAAATGATGAAGAGATATTTCCTTAGGATGAACAGGAACTGGACAAAGTGAAGATAAAATAGAGCTGAAAATATCTTGGGTAAAAAGGAAACCTGCAGTCTCAAAACAACCTTGTTCCTATTTGTCCCAAATAGGGTTCTTTACAAGATGAAGCGGAGAACTAAGAAACCCTTGTAGCCGAGGTAATGGCCAAGAAAAGCAATCTTTTTGGATAATAAAGATGAAGAAATGCCTCATATAGTTTCAAAAAGAGGTTTTGTAAAACAAAATAAAACCAAGTTCAAGGCCCGAGGAAAAGGTTTGAGGAAAAGGAGACCTAACATGAGGAGCCACACAAGTAACTCCCTAATTAAAAGTACACATTTAAGGAAAGACAAGATTCACAAATCAGACTCAGACCAATGAAAATAAATCTTCCACGTACGTTAAAAAATCTAATGAGTAGAAGATCTATGAGCCTTAAGCATAGTCGGAATAACAGAATCTGAAATTCCTGTGTCTTTCACCACCTGGGTTTTAACAGCCAGGCCACTAAGGCACACACCACATCTGGATCCCTCACTCTGTACACAAATCTGTCCACCTTTTTAATGTGACAAGAAGCAATAAGACCCACATTCGATGTTGCCCAGCGGTGACACAGTTGTTGGGATACCTTTGGATGGAGAGACCATTCACCCGGATCCAGACATTGTCTGCTGAGAACATCCATCTGCCAGTTTTCTATTCCTGGAATATTCACTGCTGAAATTACTGGAACCTGAAGTTCTGATCAATCCAAGATCAAATGTACTACTGTCACCGTCTACAGACTCCTGGTGCCTCCCTGCTGATTGATGTACGTCATTGCCAGGGCTCGAAAAATCCACTCGTCCACTCGTCTGTGACGAGAGGACGGTGGAGCCCGACGAGCAGCTTCCCGGCCGGCCGTTGTAATTACACGGCCGGCCGGGAGTTACAGTCAAGCGATCGAGCATCACGAGAGACGCTCGATTGCTTGAATCAGCAGCTGTCACTGCCATTGCCGGTCCCGAGATCCGCTGTGCCCGATGTGGCCCGGGATCGGCACGGCTCTGTGACAGGAGATCAAAGGGAGTTCAGTATACGATCTCCCAAGGGGCGGACTGACCATTCGGTCCATCGGGCACTGCCCGAGGGCCCGCGGCCTTCAGGGGGCCCGTCACGGGCATCGCATAAGGTGGGGTCGCTGCCGGCAGATCCAGCCACCGCCGCCACCGCATACAGAGTCTCCTCTCTCAGCCGATCTGCACCTGCAGGCGGCTGTCTGATGGGGCCCCC